AACGATCCAATCTAAAAACAACAAAAACACTTTGGTTCCTTTGTTTTTTTTATTCAGCAGAAGAAAGTCCGCTAAGTCAGCCAAGAAGCAACACTGATGCAGCATGCATCCTGTTAGCTCTAAACCTCCTACTATTCTAAGGATTTATTTACTTTCCATCAAGCTAGCTTTGATATGACATCTTTCTACAACAGCTAAGTGAACTATTACAGGTTAATTATGCGAAATAATTAGGCAAAAATGTTTTGTCTGGTTATCTTGCTAAAAGACTGGATACTAACCTCTACACCATGACACTGACGTGTGTGTAGCTCTTATACTGAGTAAAGTATATCTTTCCCTGTTACAAACCTGAGGCATAAACATAGCAAAATTGGACAAAGTGACATGTTTATATTTCTGTTTCTTCCTTTCTCTTTGATCTGCCTGTTGTTGTTTCCTCTATCACACCTCTCTCCCTCACACCTCTCTGTCTCTTGTTTTCTTCTTCATCACCTTTTCCCTCCCTCAAAGCTCTCCTGATTCCTGCAGAGGCATGCTGCGTCATGGAAACAGCCGCCTCTGTGTGTGTATGTGTGTGTGTGGGATGGCTTGTGGTAAACGCTCCCTAACAGCACCTCCTGCTGTCCTGTTCGCCAGATTATTATAGGCAGTATGATTTACAGTCAGTCAGAGAGCAGGAAGACATATTTTTCAGTCAAGGGTTTTGGCATTTATTTTATTTTGGAAGTACAAGGGGTTTATGGGAAATATCTGGCTAGAGAAGAATACAAAATATTATTTTGCTGTTGCATACAACAATCGTAATCTGGGCATTGTTTAAAAAAAGTTTTGGTTACAGTAGGAAACCAGGGTGCATAATAATAGTACATTAAACCTGTGTAGTATAGATTTATTTATTTTTCACACTCTGGACTGAACCATAACAACAACAAACCTTTTTCCAGCCATCACTTCATCACGTAACTAGAGGAAGCAGATGTGCTGATAACAGCTGACCGATTTAGTCATTACTGCTTTGCATAAACTGATATATCTTCTGTTCTTTCTGTTTGAGCAGGTATTTAAACCACTGCACCCTCACATTATGCACATCTTTTAAATTTTTTATTGTTTTTGTATTTACCTTGAGTAAACAATGCTGAGAAATATATACATTTTAAGTCTGTTTGAACCGAAATCTTATCTGAAAATAATTAAGCTATTAATAAAATGCCAAAGTTCTATCAATGAAGGGAACTTATACTTTAGGGTTGTCAAAATATGAAAATTATTCTGCACAATTACTGCTTCCCCAATCCTTGTGAAAACTGTACAAATATGTGCTTGACTGATGTCTGCTTGAAAACAATTTGTTTAAGTACAGAACAATCCTTTACTTATCACTCAAGACCATCCGAATCAACATCAAACTAGCTAGCAATTAAAGGCACATTGAAACATTAAAGATAAACTATAGAAAAATGCTCAACTGAATCAAATGTACACTCTTTCATTAAGGATATTAATACCATCACTGTTCTCTTCCTGCAAAAATGACTAAGTATTTCTTAAAATAAGTGTATTTACCCTTATTCTGAGTAGGCAAATAAAATAATCTGCCGATAGTATTTTTACCCTTGAATTAAGATAATTAGGTATTACACACTTTTCTTTTAATGTAAATTTTCTTATTCCATTGGCAAAGTGTCTCACTTAACTGCTCAATTCAAGTACCAATGCAATTATTTTAAGAAAAAATGACTTAGATTTCAGTTTTTTAAACATGGAAGTAAAATATTTTTTATTTATCAATAGTCCCCTACTTAAGGGTTTTGCCCAAACTAAGAAAGTTAAATATTGTCAAATTATAGTTAATAACTGTTTTCTTAACTAGGCAGAACCCTACACCTTTTAGAACGCTGTTGCAAAAAGGGTTTTAAGTAGTTTTCTTTGTATCTGTATCGAGTTTAAAATGTCATGGCAACCTCATTTTGTATTAAGTAGATTTATATTTATATTTAATAAGACTGACTTTCAGTTAAGATGGGAAAGAACTTTGAGACAGAGGTTAATATTTAAAACAATCCAACTATCTTTATATATATCCTCTAAAAATTGACCATAAGGAAAGCTCTTCATTCTTTAAATACCTCTAAAGGTAATACGGATTTTAAATAAAATAGTGGAAACCTCAGCTTCTCTTAATTTCATTGACATCATGTCTCCTGCAAACAATAAAAGAGTTTAAACACTTCTAATTATACAGACACAAGAAAATGCTTAAAAGAAGGGATTGTTTGCAGCCTCATAAATGCACAGATTAGATGCTCCACACCCACATGGGAAAGGATGGTAAACTTTTAGACTTCTTATATTAGAAAAAAAAATGTTTGGAATAGCAATTTTGCAAAACCACAAAGCTGTGTATTATGTGCATTGTTACAATAACCCTGTGTAATAATTCTGTTATATAATACTTTAGCTGTTATATAAAATACTTCAAACTATATATATATATATATATATATATATATATATATATATATATATATATATA